TTTATGTTAAGGAGTCTCCCTGTTCTGACACTGTTAGTAATCCACAAACACAGTCTTTTGGGGGTTTTTATTATTTTTTTTTAGCAATTAGAAGTGAAAGTATTTTTCTAATTAGCAGCCTACTTTCAGTAAGGAATTTGTGTATCAAAGAGAATTTGTCAGTTTGAATATGAATTCCTTGTGTTTGTCACTATTTTCCTCATTTAATCAATATTCCCAGTTTATAATACAAACATTTTTTTTTACCTGTTCTATAGAAATAGCTAAATACAATGATTTTGAAAATTCCATAATAATTTGTAGTAAATTCCTAGCAGCTTAGTGGAAAATAAATGATTTTCTATGAAAGGTCAACCTTATTGGAAAACTGGCCAGTTGTGTTGAAAAACAATAAAAGGAAGTGGGGTGGGGAATCATTGTTATAACATCTCAAAACTTTAGTGGATTGAAAAATTCTTGAAAGTTTAAAAAAAAAAAAATTCTTTTAATTAGGAATGGTTTGTGGGTATCTTGGATTTTAGAACTACATAAGTAGATAAGAGTTTAAACTTCAAAATAGATTTGTGATATTTTATTGAACTTTTCTGTTCATAAATTGGTGGTCATTATTTACCTTTAGAAACACTTTCCTTTTAGCTATTTAATATTGGGAAATATTAAAGGAAACAGTAGTGATCCCATATTTTTTTCTGTTGTCAATTTTTTGCACATTTTTAAAGTTATTTTTGGTTAAAAAAAACTTGTGACATAAAATGAAACTGATTCTTTTATTCTTGCATTATTTAAAAAATAATTTGAACAGAAATTTGGAACAAAACACACTAAAAAGTAATTTTTTTTTAATATTCTAAACTTTCATCCTATTTATTGATTTTTAGCTTCTTTGATATTCTCATCAGTATATATTTGAACAGATTATAATAAACAAATAGAGCAGGAAAATGAGTTTCTTTTAAAAGTCAGCTAAATCACAAAATAAAAAATTCATCACACCAGCTGTTACTTATCAAATGCAATTCTGGAATTTTTATTTTTTTTTAATATATCAAATATAAGTAGAAAAATATTTAAAATTCAATAATTATTAGTGGCAATCTCTTTGTAAAATAAAAAGGAAGATCAATATTTTTGGCTCCAACCATAATGGAGAGGAGGGGAGACTTTAATTATTTATTCTCATATACTAAAACTTGCAAATTGACTTTTATGCATTTTTTTTTTTTTTTTTTTTTTTTTTTTAAAGAAAATATATAAAACCAGATTAATTTCACACAAGATATAGAATAATAAAATTAAGTTATTTACAACTGCTATCCTCTTGTTGCTTTTTGGAATATTTTGCTTTTCTTCATTGTCTTAAATACTAAGAAGAGTCATATTATTATTGCATGATATCTTCATCCTTGTTGATTTTATTATTTTGTTTAACAGTAAACCTAGTGTATAGAATTCAACAATCTGGTTACCAATGCTCAGTCAAGCAGCTGTCTTTTCACCCAGGGCCAATGAATATTAAGTTGTCTGAATTTTGAGAAAGTATTTTCATTATTAATTTTTGACGTATTTTTTTCATCTTACTTTTGTTACTCCTGACCCCACCACCTCAACTCAAGTCATTTTACAATTGTTAAGTAAGCAGTTTGGATTGGGCAAGTTATTGGATAAGATCTGAGTTAGAATTTTGTTAGGAATAAACACATTATTTCCAATTCAGGCTGCATACTTAATGGTCATAGAAGATAAATTTTGTGCTGAGAGAGACACTGAACAAATCTAAAGTTAATAACCCAAAGCCTTTCTGTAACAGAAAAATAGTGTCATCATCAGAGTACTTCATGGATGTACTGTGAAATTCAGCATACAGTTTAATTTACTTCATATGTGTAGCTGGATAATTTTTTTCCTGTAAGAATTTATCCACCATTTATTAAAAGAAAACCCCTACTAGATGAATTATTCTTTTGCGGAAGGCTGAAGAACATGCTGACCAAAATATAGTAATCAACAGATATTACTTTAAATAACTTGTGTAAAATTATGATTCATTAAAATTTTACATAAACATCCTTATGTCTATTAAATGTTAAAAAAAAAAAAAAAAACCCTGAAAATTCTTCTCAATTAAAATGGGAAGAATGAAAGTAACTTCCAAAAGTATATTTTTATGTAACAAGCAAACATTTTTTTGTTTTTTAAACTTTGTTCAGAGAATCAAGTGTTTTCAGAATTTATTAGTTTTGTTTGTTTTTTTTTAAACTTTGTAATTATAGTTTTTGTTATCACTCAAAATGCAAAGCCTTTTACCAAAGCTTTTAAAATAATACTGAGTGCCACATGATAGTTTTTTTTTCTAAAATAAACAAGTTTGCTTGTTAACAATTGTTTTTTATTTAATAAACAAGTCATTTGAATTTGCTTTTTGAGTTTGACATTATCAAACCTGGAAATATTAACAGGCACCTTCATTGAAAATTGAAGAATATACTTTGAGTATGTTTGAAAAAAAATCTCAACTTATCCTGTCACCCAGAAATGGTATAATTAAAAAAAAAAAAAAAAGTTGCTGGTAAATATATTATAAGGCTTGAAATATCATCAGTAGCTTTTCCACAAGAGTAGTGGCTGGATTTGTTTTCCTGTTTTTTTTTTAATAAAACTCATAACCAATTTCAGGAATTCTTAAGTAAAATATCCTCAAATTAGTAAAAAAAAAAAAAATTTTTTTTTTTTTTCTTATTTTGAAAATATTTAAATTGTTGATCAGTATTTATCAATCCGTCCATTTTTTTTTTTTTTTTTTTTTATTTGTTCATTTATACAATTAAGCTGATTGATTATTTTGGTTAATTTACCAGTTTACCTGTAGATAATCAAAATGGATGCACTCCACAATCAACCTGTATGATTTACGATGGTTTTAATAAATATTCATTAAGAAAAAGATTTGTCTTTTTTCTTTTAGATCCAGAATTGTTACTGTCTGCCATGTGTTCTTTCAACCCTGTACTACTTGAATATTTGATTTTATCCCTTTTAAAACTATATAGGTACCTCCACTAATTCGCTGAAAAAAAGAGCATGCTATGATGAAAAAAGTCTCCAAACTTAATGAAAGCAAAGTTTTATTGTCAAAATATTTCTTATTTTTAAGAGAAAAGACAAAAGTATTTTATTTCATAGAAATTTTTAATCTTCTAGTACGTTTGAAATTTTGGTTAAAACCAGTTACTGAAAATCTGCTCTAAATGTTGAAATAAAAATGTGATAAAACTGACAATATTTAATTAGAAAAGCTTTTAATTGCTTTTATAAATAAAATATATTAAGGATATTAAGGAAAATAAATTTTATGGATGATGAATTTTTACAAGAATTTTTTTTTTTTTTTACAATAATTTTAAGTTTTAAATATTTTAAAATTCTGTATTATTTTCACCTTTTTAGATATTAAGTAAAAACTATATTTACTAATAAATGAAAAAGCCTTTAATTGCAAATCTAACACCAATATTTTTTAAATAACTTGTTTTGTTTTTATTTGTATGTATAAATGTGCCGATTTTTGTAGATCTGGCTGTTCATATGCAACATCATCAGAAAATAAAAGCAATAACTAGTAAATTTAAACCCAAAAATCTAAAATTCAAAAAAAATTAGATTATGGAGAATTATTTTATGAAATTTTTAAGATTACTGAAGACTTAAAAATTATATATAAGAGGCATTCATGTTATATTATTTTTCCCAAATAAAGCCCCCATAGAACATTAGATAAACATCAATCTATCAACAGATTAAATAAACAGTTACTGAGATTAAAAAAAATGCATTTCTGCGAGATTTTAAACTTTGTTCCAAATCAAATTAATTATACTTTAAATCAGCTAATATTCCTTAAATAAAGTTGCTGAAAAGTCTATTTTATTTTTGGAAGATTTTTTAATAAAGAGAATTACATTGCAATAAACCTGGGCTAAAATGGCACCAAATCAGATATTTTTAGCAAGCAAAAAAGAAAAACATTCAGTCAAATTAGTTTTGAAATACAGCAAGGTATTTTTCTTATTGGAAATATTAAATTTAATCTATTAACTTGAAATTAAAACTAAAATAAGTTTCAAAAAAGAATTAAAAAGAAATTAATTTTAAACCTTAGGTATCACAAATCTATTGAGGTACCTACTTCACTATCTTGTAGATTCAGTTCTCACTTATTGTAGTTACCTACATCTCAATTTATTATACATGAGACTATTTGTACAATTATTCACTTTCATGTGAAGTGGTGTGATACTATGGATGCTCATGTAGAAAGGGAAGAGGTGGTTTTATCTTGATCTGAAGCAGAAGGTTCCTTCTAAGCGGCATCTGCTTTAACTAAAGGTTAATGGGAAGTAAATGAATTTTCAGAGATCAAGTGGCAACAAAACTGGAAATAGGGTATATCCAGGTGGTGGGCTATATTAACAGTCGTGTTTGGGGTTGGAGAGAGTACTGGTCTGCCTTTGGCCGTTGAGTGATTCTGAAGCAACTATTTCATATTGCTAGACACCTAGTCAAGATAAGTAAATGTCTCATCATGAGTATCATTTACCCACACACCTGGATGAGAAGGCAAAGCCCTGAATAAAATCCCTACATATAAAATGGGAAACAGGGTTCACATTCTGATGTCTTGATGTGTCATTTGTCTTTCATTGTCTTATCTTGGGAGCAGGTAACATACCCTCCCCTAAATTTCAGTGCATACAGATGAGATTGAGAATCGAAATGCAACTTTGCAGGGGTGGGATGGGGGGATCATTAGCCAGCCAGTAGAAAACTTGGGTGAGTTGCATTCTATGTTTAATGTGGTTTTACTTGTAACAAATCTCGTACAATTATTTTTTAAGGAAAAATTTATCCGAATGCGACAATTAAGAAAGCAATTACAATGATAAAAAAATAGAATTTATTCTCTTGTATAAATATACAAAAAAAAAAATGATTGGATGAGAATTCTAGTTTGCAAGTGGATTAGCATGAATTGTAACATCAATGATCTTGACGTCATTCAGCGGGCGGTAATTTTTTTCATTCACAGGCAATTTCTCCAAGTCATCAAGAGTTTCAAAGCCGTCAATCACTCTGAAGAAGAGCAAAGAAAAATAATTATGAAACAACTTACTAAAATTTTCAATTTTTTTTTTACTTCTTTTTAGTTGAGATTAGAATAATTTCAGATTTGGAAAAAGAAAGAAAATTCAAACTGAATTTTTTTCTTTTTCCAAATTTGAATCATTTGACTTGAAATTCTAATTTTCACATTCACCAAATTTGACAAATCACATTAAAAAGGGTCTATTTTTACATGGACGATGATCAATTTTTTGTTTTGGTCATTATAAGTTATCCTCTTAGCAATGACTATACACTGAGGTAGTGGTTCTTACTAATGTATTGTTATGGAGTGATTTCACAGTGGAGGCTTGTATTTGTACTAAGTCGGTCCTAAAATAGGTTCGACATACAAAACGTTAGGAACTTCATATAATAGATATGACTCAGAGTAATCTAGTTGTGGTTGCTGACACTTTAGTATCCGACTAATGGTCATCTGGCATCGTTACTATTACTACTCCTACTTATTATAGGTGGGAGAGTCTATTAACTATAGAATAGGTGTGTTCCACTATAACATGTATGGACTTACCATACCCTCTTACTCTCTGGCTTACAGCTATCTCATGTTGAAACACAGGTTTCCATATAATCACTGAAGTTAAGCAAGATAGGTGACTGCTTGAGAATACCAGGTGCTGCAAACTTGGATGCAGTTGGTGTAATGGATAATGGCTCGGAATTGTTAATTGGGTGGCCTCAGATGTTAGCTTTTAGCCAATTAGTTACCCAGGATGAGGATATACCAAGCCATTAACACCCAGTTAAGAAAGTCTTTCTTCAGTCTAAACTGTAAAGAGGAAAATCAACAGCACTTAATGATAAAGAGAAGATACACAAGTTTGTATGTCTTGTTTATTCTTTGATGAACAGAAAACTTGACACCGAAGGGCTTTGAATCCCTTCAGCCATATCAGGCAAAAAAGAAGATAAATTACTGGATATATTAGAGTCAGCTGAACAGGCAACGAATGGAGATGATTTAAATAAGAGGAAAGTCTGCTCTGAACAAATAATCACAATGTAGATGATGTGACATGGACCTCAATGTTAATTGTTAAATCATACACACAATAAATTTAATAACAGACACACTGTCTTTGTGTTTCTTCTTCTCTTTTTTTTTTTTTTACTACCTATCTGAATTGAGTTGTGTTTCGGACAGGAAAGGAATTTGGGGTCACTTGACAACAAACAGAAAGACCTCCTAAGAAAGTAAGAATTGGTCACCTACACTCACGTGGGATTTTGATATTGCAATTTTAGTTTCTCGATGACCTCAACAGATTTTCATCATGTGATTGTGTGGGATAAGAAATACACCAACAAACCTACTCCATTAAGGAAATTTCATCCCAGAGATATGGATGTGACTATTTAATAGATAAAAAATAAAGGAATATTGTACCTGAATAAATACAAAGAAAATATTATACTTTCATCTTGGAGGCAATCCTAGTAACTAAAGGGAAACGGAACACAGAGATAATTCCAGAAATCTATATTTCATATTGTGGAAGAACAACCAAATTTGTGAACATTCTACAGCAACTTTAACTGTCATTACAAACATTCGAAAACCAAATTGAAATCCTTATAACCCCCATTAGTTGATTTGCATAAAAAAAGCCAATTATTTTAGCCAAAGAAGCAAAAATAGCTACCCTGTTCATTATATAGATAGATACATGATTTCTTGGTTAAGGGTCACCTTATATACCAGTAAGTATGGTTAATTTTAAAGTTGTTACCATTTCTTTCTGATTAGAAGAGGTTTACATTATGCTCATTAAATTGAAACCTTTTTTTTTTTTTTTATATTTTACAGAGATGATAATCAAACTCACCTTCCAATTATTGTGTATTTCATGTTCAAATGAGGTTGTTTGTTGTAGGTAATGAACCATTGGGATCCATTTGTGTCTGGACCATTGTTAGCCATTGATACAATTCCCCTGTTGTTATGCTAGAAAAAAGATATTAGAAAAAAGGTATGAAAATTCAGTTAAATACAACAGATTTAAGAATGTGTGGAGGAATTTAATCAGGGTCATGGACAAGACATAACGTGTATGTAGTGTAGTGGTTATCAAAATACGGAAATAGAAAGGAAATCTGAACTATCTGTTTATATTTATAAGATGAGGTATTATGTACACTATTTACATTATTCGAACTATTGTCCTCATCTTTGTCGCCATATTTATTACAACATTTCGGCCCTTCAGTATCTGTCTATATTTATAAGATGAGGTATTATGTACACTATTTACATTATTCGGATTATTGTCCTCATCTTTTTCGCCATGTTTATCACAATGTTTCAGACCTTCAGTATCTGTCTATATTTCTGAGATGAGGTATTATGTACATTATTTACATTATATGGATTATTGTCCTCAACTTTGTCGCCATGTTTATTACAATGTTTTGGCCGTTGTACGCTCCGGCCGTCTTCAGGTGGTTGGAATGTTGAACTAAACAAACACTTTATTTTTCTCACTGGGGTAGACTGTTCTAGTTCCACGTCCCATGTTTTAATGGATGTCAGTTATCAGTTATCTCTTGTTAATTCTCCTCTCTAAGTTCTCCACTGCCTTAACCAGGTATTGAACTCACACTCTTTGGGTCCTGTTACTGGATCTAACTAACACCTTTATCTACTGTACCATGTGTCCTTGAGGACATCTGAAATATTAAGGAAAGCTAACAAAAATAAAGCATAATTGTAGAGACTATGTTTTAGTACCACAAACATCAAAATGTTTTGGTATGTGTAGTGTGTGTGCATTTGGCAAAATGGTTAAAAATGAGTAGTAAAATAAAATCCATTACTCTAATGCTGCCCACATGATGTTCACAAAGAAAAACATTTTTAAAAATCAGTGTTGCTATATTCTATCATGTCATGTGGTTACATATCTTTTGTCCACTTTATTTTTATTTATTTACCCAAGTGGTGTATATATGAATGCTATGCACCAGTAACAACTTTTTATTGCTTTCTACCACAATATTTTTTACCCAAGTATTTTTTTTTGCTCTCTAAGTTAAATTGCTTGAATTTAGAAGTTGTAGCATCAGGTAAGTTTTGAATACGTATTCTGTACCTCATGAAACTAATATATCATGTAACGTGTGTGGTGGAGTAGTTGGCCATGGTTAAGTGCAATTGTAACAAAATTCTTGACTAATGGAAGTTCTCAAAGAAAAAGAAGCGGGAAAAGTAAGATTAAGGAAGCAATAATAAATTAGAATGACATTAAAATTTGTTACTCTTGCGAATTCTGGTAATTTAATTTGAAGGCTGAAGAATGTCTGTCAGAAATATAACAAAAAGATGGGGATATTAGTAAAAAAATATGTGTAGTAGCATGAAAATATTTCGTTTTAGAATATCATTAGATTACAATGAATGGATAACAATTCTTGTGTCTCTGCCTATATATCTGAGATGAGGTATCTATTTATACTATTTACATTGTTCGGACTGATGTCCTCATCTGTATTACCAGATTCACCTTCAACATCTGTCTCTATTTCTGAGATGAGGTATTGTAACTATTGTAACAGAGAGAGGTATACACACACCCACTCACATGAACACACACACACGCAAATATAACTTATATTGACTGGAAATGGAAATGGTGTTTATATATCAAAGTACAATTTGGGTTAAGATGTGTGTTTACCGATGAGAAACACTATCTCAGGGCAGGAGGCGATGTTTTAAACCTGGGTCACTAGTAAGCAATGGGGATAGGCGAGATACTTGGTTTTGTTTAACAGTAATTGTTTTGATTAAAAGGTTGAATCAATGTTTAGATATCCCATAGTATAATTTTGGTGAAGCGAGAAGAACTCGTGATTGAGATAAGGTAAACAATTGGAGAATCGGTTTACATGTCAAGGGATAGTTTTTGGCACTATTTTGGAGGAGAGAGAGAAGACTGCCCCCTGTTCTGAGAAGTCTGTATGAGATTGGACTATTAGTCATAAACCTACCCCAGGTGATTCAATACACGTTTATCACACACACCCTCTCTCTGTTGGGAATTTGCTGGATGCATTTTGTCTTTTTCTTTTCTCATTTATGTTAAATGTTTTTATTCTCCCTGTAACCTCTGTTCTGATGTTATCTTCTCATATAAAAGACATCAATATTTCCCCCATTGTTGTCTGGCTTCTGCAGATATTATTTCTTGTTTTATTTTGCCACATTCTAAACTTCCTAGCGCCAACTCTCACAGCTGTGTCCACATCCCCAGTCGACCATGAACGTATGGACACCCTGCTTACTGGATCTAAAAACTAACACAGCGTGGGCAGCGAGCAGGACTTGACCAGTTGACCGGTCAAAATAATCTACAGGGAGCGTATGGCCAGCTACCCCTAAGTTCGGTTTGGACCAAGTGGACACCACAACCCAAAGAGGAAGACGCCGGAGGTTGAGGGGCTGGGGACGAAGTGGTAGACTATTTACACTATTCAGACTGTTGTCCTCATCTTTATTGCCATATTCACCTTCAACATCTGTCTCTATTTCTGAGATGAGGTATTGTAACTATTTACACTATTTACATTGTTCAGACTGTTGTCCTCATCTTTGTTGTCATATTCACAAAGTTTCGGCCATTCTATGCTCCAGCTTTCTTCAAGTGATTGGCATTTCAAATCAAACCCATTATTTCGTCCACCGGAATAGATTGTTCTAGTTTTACATGCCATGCCTTTTCTGGATATCTTAGTTACAGTTATTTCCCTTTCATAAATCAAACTCTCCAAGCTTTTGTTTACCTCTGCTGTGGCCAGATATTGAACTCACAAGCTCTTTGTGTCAAATCACTGGATTACTTCAATTTTAATCCCCAAGGACACATAGCCCAGTGGATAAAAGTGTTGGTTGAAATAATCCAGGGGCTTGACCCGAAGAGTTGTGAGTTCAATACTTGGTCACAGCAGAGGTGAACAAAAACTTGGGGAGTTGAGTTACTAAAAGGGAGATAACTGAAAATGAGATATCCAGAAAAGGCATGGCATTTGGAACTAGAACAATCTAAAGGGTTCAGTTTGAAATTCCAGTGTATATCACCTGAAGAAGGCTGGGGTGTAAAATGGCTGAAACATTATGAAGATGAGGACAACAGTCTGAACAATATAAATAGTGTAAATAATTCTTGTGTCCTTTTTTTTAAAGATATTACCCTTGTCCCTTAATAGTTGTTACAATAATAGGCACATTTTATAAATTAAATGTAACAATTATTACGAGACAAAGGTAGTATTTTGAAAGCAATAGTAAATTTGATTGGTTTGGTTTGTTTTACACCATATCAACACCAATGGGTTATTTAATGCCAACAACATTTTTAGGATAGATTCGTATGAATAGAATATGTATTGATTGGTTTGTTTTATTTTGTTTTACGGCATATCAACACCAATGGGTTATTTAATGCCGACAATTTTTTTCCTGGTAATATTTTGTTTTGTCAAAAATCTATTTCTGGTAATATTTTTTTTCTCAAAATTGTATAGCTAGTAATATTATTTTAAAAAATGGTAATATTTTTTTTTCTTCAAAAATTTTATTTCTGTTAATAACTTTTTACAAAGTATTTCTGGTATTAAAACCTATTTTTACACTTTAATAATGCTTTTTACCTCAGTTTCGGGGTTAACTATTTGCCCATAGCTGGGACCCTAACAGGTGCTACCACCCTGGGTTAGGGTGGACCTGGGAACACCAGCATTTAAGAGGTGGTTCCATCCTCCTCAAAACCTGCTGATCAGAGGCCTTGCTGCTGGACATAGTTTATTGTCTTACCCAGAACGTGGATGTAGTTTATCATCATACCCAGAACAGAGTAAATTTGAAGTACTTACTTTTAAACCTTCACGAAACTCATCTTCAAATCTATGGCCCCATATGCTATTTCCGCCTTTGCCTGTGCCTAGAAATATTAAGAAAAGTTTACAAAAACACTTACAAAAAATTTAACATTGCAGTTTAAAAAGACTTACAAATGATGTCGACCTTGCAAATTCCGGCAGATCTTTGCAATCTGCTATTGAATATTTTATTATCATGAATTCTTCTATTTTTAATAATTCTATAATATATACTATTTGTTACAATTTTATACTTTATATTACAACATATAATTTTATAATTCAGCTATGACACATTTTTATAATTTATCAATACTATTTTTCCGCTTGTTTATCTGTAAAAGGAGTGCTGACAAGTTCTCAACCTGACCAAAAAGGAATTTTTAAAATTCTGATGTCTGATCCTTTGTTCAGATTTTAGGAACTGGGTCAAGTTGAGAATTTTTCATAGCATCAGAGTGTAGTATCATTTTGAAAAACAATTTTGAAAAAAAAAAAAATGTTAAATCGTTGATTTAGGAATAGTCCACTTTGAATTCTTACCACCTAATGCAACAGTTAATGCTCAAATATACTGTCAGCAATTAGAGCGTTTGAACCAAGCTTTGAGGAAAAAAAGACCTGCTCTAGTGAATTGAAAAGAGGTGATGTTTCATCAGGACAATGCGTGACCCCACACAGCAAGAATCACATCACAAAAGATCAAAGAACTTGGTTGGGAGAAAATTCTTCATCCACCTTATTCTCCCAATCTTTTTCCTTCAGAACCATTTGTTTCGTAGCTTACAGAATCTTTTGGAAGAAACAGCTTTTGTAACACAGGAAGAGGTTAAAACTGACATTTGTGAGTTCTTCAAATCAAAGCCAAAAGAATTTTACAGTAATGGAATTAGTAAGCTTGTTAATAGATGGAAGGAAGTCATAGATAATCAGGGAAAATACATTGTTGATTGAATCTGTAATTAAATGTAACATTTGGTCACTTGTTTTCTTTATTCAAAATTCGGACAGAACTTATGGGATGACCTGATATATAATTATTATATTAAATTGATATATAAATTCATAATTGGGTAAGCTACTAGTTGAAAGTGTAAATAATAGAATTGATGTTGTCATATTAAAGTATTGTTTATACAAACTGTTATATCATGTGTAGGATTTATTGAAGAAAGATATCAAAACATTAATTCACAATATTGATTGATTGTTTTAATATAGTTTATCAACCTTTTTGAGGTTATTTAAAGCCAAAACATAATATTCTGGGATTGTAAGTATTTGGAGAGAATAATAATTTTCTGATACAAGTCCATTTAATCAAGGTGGATTCATACCCTTCCAAAGATGATCAGATGAGAACCCATGTTTCAATGTAATATGGCCGCAAACCCCATTCACTACAACCATTAATTAGTAACCAAGCAAATTATTACAAATGGGGATTGATTCATTTTTTATGGTTTATCAACTCTTTGCTGGTTATTTAAAGCCAGAAAATATTTTTAGATTGTAAGAATTTTTTTTGAGATAATAATGATTCACTGATACAAGCCCTACTAATTAACCCATAGCTGGGGGAGAAGAGGTAGATTCATACCTTTTCCCAAGGGTATTTGTACATAAGTGAATAAAACAAACCTGACTGGAATTGGAACATGAGGACTCTGATTTCAAATTCAGAGCCATTTTCCATTACACAACCAGCACATCCAAGCTTACAGCACCTGTTATTTTCAAGCGATTACCCATCTTACTTACTGTCCAGGCTTGACATTGCTTAACTTCAGTGATGTCTAATTTCCAATTCTGGGCCATTAAACATTACACCACTCATACATCCATGCTTATAGCAGTTGGTATTCTCAAGCAGTTACCCATCAAGGTACTGACCAGGACTTGATGTTGCTTAACTTTGATAACTGGAAAGAACCAGTGTTTCAACATGACATGTCTGTAAGACTTATAGATGGGAAAAATGAAACATTGATCATGGCTGTATTTTTGCAACAACTGCATTTGAATCTGGAATATATAAACAAGGTTTCAGTTTTTCTCACTGCCCAATGATTTGACTAATGTTCCACCCTCTCTTCCACTTTGTTATTGTCATTTTTAACAGAAATAAATAATATAATTATTTTTATGGCAATTGGTAAAAATTTGATGGTCAAGCAACAGATCCTGTAATTTTTAATCAAAAACTTGCACATGTAAATAGTTTTCTTTAAGATAGATCACATATTTTAGAAGAATTCTGCATGTGGGTCATATACTTAAGTAGCACGAGAAATAATTTCATATTATATTATTACATTACTTTCTTGCAGTATTTACATATTTTTCAGTTAAACTTAAAATTTGTTAATTTTTTTTGAGCTTTGAAAAAAACGCTCCATCTTTCCTTGAGTTCAGAATTCTTCTTTGCTGTATATTACGATAAGAAGACATTGAAAATCAGGAGTAGATTGGCCAGTGGTCAAGAATTTATGTTCCTGGTTGAATAGTAGAGGAAACTATTAGAAATAACTATAAAAAGGCAATGTAAATTACTTTGTGTTTTATCTGTAAGTTGCAAAAGCCAGGTAGGCTAGTAAAAGTTTAATCAGTTTCTTACCAGTTGGGTCACCAGTCTGAACCATAAAATCCTTTATGTTACGGTGGAACAAGCAACCATTATAATAATCAGAAGCACATAAAGCCAAGAAATTCTGCAGAAAACAAAAGAAAATTTAGCATAAATTTGGAAAAACAAGAAAAATACATAGAAAATATTTTTTTAAATACAGAGGAACCTCAGTTCTCGAATGTCTCACATGTCGAACAAATTGGTTTTTGAACAGAAAATTTGAAATGAAAATGCCTCAGTTATCGAACAAAATTTTGGTTCTCAAACAACATTGCTGAACTGAGTTAACCAAAATGGAATCATTTCTGAATCAACCACCATATTGAATACATTCATATGTTGTGCTGTGCTTTTCTTTTTCCAATTTCATTGTACTGTGACATTTTTTTCTCTTTATTAGTCCTTAGTCATGGATCCAAAGGAAGCTAACAATGATAATGGTAAAGAAAAAAGAAAAGTTCAAAGAAAAACAATTGTTGATCATATTGTCTCTTCCTACTCAGTTACATATGAAAAATCAATGATCTATACTATTCTTATAAATAAAGAGACGATCATGTTTTTCCTTCCTGTTTCCAAACAATAATAATAATCTGTAGGGACATTATTATTATTAATTAATAAAAATATAAAATAATAATAATAATGAATATCATAGATAAAATAAGACAAAGAATATAAAAAAGTTTGTTTCAAATAAATTAAATAAACCAAAAAAAAAAAAAAATCTCCCAGCATGCAACAGAAACATTTCCTGCCTGAAAATGGACTTTGTGCCAAAAGACGCTGAATTCACTCTCTTCAACACTGACCATTGGAAAGTCAAGACACCCATCTCCGCTCCTCAGAACAGTGCTTGTTATAATATGAAGTGACTTCTTCCATTTATCACAAGCAACTGTAAAACACTTGTAACTAAAATACACAAAATAAATAAAATTGTATGATTTTAATTTACAATTTAACATGTGTCTAGTGTTATTTCTGTGTATGTTTTTATTCCTGTGAACACGAGGCTAGCTCTATTGGTATGACAAGAGTAACCTCCACAAATCTACCTGCATTAACAATTTCTCTTGTGCTTGACTTTTGTTTTTCTTCATTTGTGGAATTTTTATTCAAAAGAAGACTTTCTTGAGATTACATGGATAAAGAATTTGACCAAACTGACACAATCTAACTCATTTTTCTGCTTATGATATTCTAAAGATATGATACTTTTGTTGTTTTTTTTTACTTGAAAAAGGCTGACTTTGAAGACAGCAAATCTATTAATAAACAAGAATGCCCACTCATTCCAACTTCAACACAAAGCCTTTTTAAGAAATTGATAGTTTTTCAAAGCCTTTGTTCCAGAACCCCAAGAGGTGATTTGGAAGAAGAAAGCCAAAAGACATACAAAAATGAAGAGCCAGAAATTGGGAAATCAGGAAAAGAACAACTTAATACTCATCTGGACATGGAAGAAATAAGCAATGAAACAACAGGTAGAGGGGAGGCACCCCCTTCTAACACCTGGAAAACCTTGCTCCCACGTATCAGTGTAGCAAAATTTGTGCAAGTGGCCAAGTAGGATAAACACTTGGTTGAAGGAAGTGCATTGATGGTGGATTTTCTTGAACTGAGGGAAATTAAAAAAAAAAAATATCTATCTTTTATGATTGACAGAAAAACAAACAAGATTGTTATGTCCTAAAAGTAAATGTGATTAAATCATATAATCTTTGTATATTAAAAAAATAATAATCATTGTTGATCATGGTTTTCTACGATTTCCTGCCCTTTGTAAATTTTGTCATTTTGCTATCTCTCCTAAACCTTGTTTCATCAATTTAGATAGCAAAACAAATTAAGAACAAAATCATAAAAAAATATCTTTCAATTCTGTTGGTTATACAAAGTTATACCAGAGTGAACAATTTGTAAATGAAAAATGTCACAGCTGATATCTTTAAAAGTGAATTAGTTCAAGAGATGAAGTATTTAAGAGAAATTCATGATGCCAACTTTGGAATGGTTATGTTGAAGCTTGTTCTCTTGAAGATTACTTATTTGGAATTATGCTTTGCAAATGTTTGCATATCTCTACAATTATTTATCACCTTGTTGAAAGATTATTCATCAAGATGAAATTAGTAAAGGATTTCATTAGATCAACGATGACACAATAGACTGGTTGACCTAGTACAATTTGGCACTGAAAGTTACTTTTCCCAGCTGCTATTTATAATGACAACACAAATGACTTTTCTAACAAGGTGAAAAAAAATAATCATTAAACATTAAGTTAAACACGATTTTCCTAAACACTTTGTTGATTGTCATTTTATTATTTGTATTAAGATATTTAACACAACGTCCACTAATCCCAAATGTGACACGGGATTTCATGCAAATGTGTGGTGAGATTCCAAAAATAAACCAATTTTATTTCCAGTTTTTATTTTGTTATCAATTTTTACACTTAAGGAAATAATTGTGAAATATTAAATATCAAAAGTGCTTAATTTTTAATAGAAGGAAAATGTTCAGTGCTGCAAAATTTGGTGTGTGTGCTTTTTGTGAGGGTCTCATATAGGAAGTACTTTCTACAGCCCTAGATGCAATAAACATTACATTACATTATCATCATATTATTATTATTACTACAACAATAATAACAATAATAATAAAAATTCAAAATACTTAAAAAAGAGAGCAAAGACAAATGCAACCGACCAGATACAGAAGCAATGGCAAGATAAACCACTTCATGGCCAATACTCTGCCTGTACCAAACAAGCTGACATAGACAAAACCTGTACCCATCAGTGGCTACGTAGTGCAGGGTTGAAAGCTGAAACTGAAGGTTTTATCTTTGCTGCACAGGACCAATACATGTTAACTAGTAATTATTAAGCACATATACTAAAATATTGTGTTAGCCCAAAATGCAGATTCTGTGATAAATATCCAGAAATGATTGATCATCTTGTATCAGGTTACATGATATTGGCACCCACTGAATATAAAACCCAGCATGACAGAGTGGGCCAATATCTGCACTGGAAAATTTGCAACTTCTACAGGAAGGAAACTGAAAGAAACTGGTATGAACACCACCCAGACCCGGTTACAGAGATAGGACCTGTTACAATTCTATGGGACTACACAATACACACTGACAGAACAATCAAAGCCAACCGCCCAGACATTGTTATTAAAGACCACAAACAAAAAAAGTGCCTCCTTATTGATATGGCAGTCCCTGCAGACTGCAATGTATCTTTGAAGATATTCAAAAAGCTATCAAAATACAAGGACCTTGAAATAGAAATCTCAAAAATGTGGCATATGGGAACATCAACAATCCCTGTTGTAGTTGGAGCCCTAGGATTGGTTGGAAAAGATTGCAGTAGACTAATTGAAGGGATTCCTGGAATTCCATGCCTCAAAGAGATACAAAAAAATTGTTCTGACAAGTACAGCCCACACTTTATGAAGGGCTTTATCATGTAATTTTTTTTTTTTTTTTTTTTTTTTGTCAGTGGAAAGTGTCATGATGCCATTTCTAACCTTAGGTCCCTAGGCGGGACCCGGAAATAAATGTGTAAATGCCAGAAATCAAAGAAAATAAAAATAATAATAATAATAAAAAATGGGGGAAAAAAAATCCCAAATGACTTACCTCACAGGCTTTTGGAACTTGCTCACAGAACAATTCAATCTTGACTGACCCAACATCTGTTCTTACAGTTACAGACTGAAAAAAAAGAAGACTAATTCAGTTTTCTTTATTTTTCATTGTAAAGATCTTTCCTATTTTTGGTGATATAAAAAAAAAGAAGAAATTATGTTATTTGAAACTAACAAATCTTATTTACCATCCAGAAAGCAAGAATATGGCTCTTCTGATACATTCTAATAAGCAAACACATTTTGGGAAGTAAAAATTCTAACCCAAACCACTTAGGTGGAATGAAGCACAGTCAATTCTATCTTCTCAGTCTGTTGATATTTATCAATCAACCAAGCTAGTGATGAAAGCCTCTTTCTTAATCATCCTCTCCCCCCCTCTCTCTCTCTATGGACTCTTTAAGGACCTAGTGGAATAAAACGTTGGTTCGTGTATTTATTAGAGAGGGACATAATAATTAATTGATCAATAGATGGGCCGCCGGGTAGTACAGACTCAAGGGAAAAGTGGCGAACAGTAATTGAGCAGTGTTAAATAAAACAAGAGCGAGAGATCTCCATACATGGACAGCGAAATGAGAACACTCTGTACCTGTAAAGGGTTCAGTTCGAAAATCCCTGAACATTACCCGATCGACAAGCATCTGATGAAGATCAGAGAACACACAGAACCGAAACTGTATGATAATAACAAAAAAAGAAAAAAAGACAATATAGTCCTCTAAAGTAAATAATGATTTTCCTCATTTTTAACGAATACATTTGCCAACCACACATGCACGCAATCATATCTGAATTCAATAACAAAAAGGTTAATTAATAGCCGAGCGCCAACGATGGGTGAAGGAAAAGTGAATAAAAAAATAAAAAAAATAAATGTTCGATTTTTATTCTTAGGTTGAGGTTTGACTTCAGAAACTTACCATTGTTTTCGTGGTTGCAATGTAGTATCTTATATGACTTCAGAATTTTAAACTAATCAATACTTTTAATCTAAAAAATATTCAGCTATAAAAATTACTTTTATGATCAATTTTTATTTAATTGAAACGTAAAGCACATCAACGTCTCCACGCCATCGCTTATGAACGATATTAGAGTTGTCCACCTTGGATTTGTTTTACTTTCCGGTATGTCGTAATACTATTTATAATTATTATTTTCTGTCTTTAAAAAGAAATTTAGTTGAGGAATAAAATCACATTGACATATATCTATAAAAATCATACTTACTCAGGTTTTGATTTTGTTTTTTTATAAATTCAATACTGAAGTTGTTTAGAGTAAAATATTTTACGACAGTCATAAAGTGCTACCATCTTACCCATGTGGAGTTTAGCGTACGATTTCAGATCGGTGAGTGAAAAATAATTTATTTTATTTTTACTTATTTAATATTTCACTTATATGGAATATTAAATTTAAATATACAAGAAATATTTTATTCATTTTTAATATTCCACAATACTTGTGTTTAGTAATTAGTTTTCCTTCAGCCATGTTAAGTAACTTTTTTTTAGTAGTTTTACTATTTTCAAGCTCTCTATGGTTCAGTCCACAATGAAAAGGATGTCTGAGTTGATAAGCCACCCAAGAAATTAAATAAGTCCTATAATTTCGATGATGTTAGTTAGTTAATCCATTGAATTTAAACTTCGCTAGTGTCCGTTGTTGTTAGTCTTCTTGTATCTAAGCTAAATAAATATTTTGGTCAACAGATCATAAATGTTTGAATTTTTTTTGACTGAAATAATTATTTTCTGAAAGAATTAAAGCAATTTCTTTGATTTGTTGATTTATATTTGAATTTGACTAAGTTTTTCTAGTAAAATCTGTTTGTTTTTTTGTTTTTAATCTTGACTCAAATTGACTGGTATTGCATCTTTTTTTTTACTATACAGATTAATTACAAACAATATGATCTAGAGATCCTCTTTAAAAATCTGGTATAAAAAAAAGAAAAGGTATAATTTTATTTGTTCGCACTCGACGGTAGTAGTCATCAAGACTACTACCGTTTATTTATCGAGTGCACAGACTGGAATATAAAAATAAAATGGTTTATTTATTTTTACTTACAGCATGAGTAAATTGGGATTTTATAGTTTTTAAATCTTCTTTCGTTGGCCGGGTATTTCCATGTAAGTTGTCATGTATTTGAAAAATTTGTGAAAAACTCTTAGTCGCAATTAGAACCGATAAATAAATTAAATAGCCTCACCTGATACGGGAATAAAACAAACTTTTTAACCAAGTTGGCATTCGTGAAACAAAAACAGATAAAATTGGAGACTTCTATAGGATACAAATCCTATATTCCAACAAATGACTAAAAAAACACAAAGTAGATTTGCACACCCGCAAAATCGGATCAAAACAACCAAAAACAGATTTCACAATAAGGTGTGAAATTAATTTTCTGACCAATGAAAGGAGGCGATTTGCTAAACCAAAAAAAAAAGATAACGAGCCAGTGTGAAAAAAAAGTCAACAATAAATACAGAGTTTTCAAGTCAGTCGCCAGTCAGTCAGGCAGAGAAGGGCGCAAAGGTCACAGAAGATTGACAGTAAATTTCATCACTGACTCAACCCGACAAAAAGAGCCGAAAGTGGAGTAGGAAAGAACAACAACAAATTTACAACTGACTCCAAAACAATTCATAAGTACATTTTCCTTTTATCTTTATTCCTCATTCACACTCTCTTTTTCAACTTAAATTGCTCGCCCCTTTTTCATTTTACGACTATACAAAAACAAAAGAAACAGACATTATTCTGCTACTCTGTTAAAAGACAGCGAACACAGACATTTTATCAAAATCACATTTTTGCTTAAACGAACTAAAACAGTAATCTTTTTTACCCTATTCACAAGATAATAAATATACAATGTTCTATTTTCTATAAACGTTCCTTATCGTGTTGTTTCTTCTTGAAATTTGCGTTGTATTTTGTGGGCAGGGTATCCCGTATTAAATTCTCCTTTAATCCGGGTACGCTGAACCCCACACTTGTTTTTGGTAAATTCAAGTAAGATGAAGAGTGTAGGTTTGCAGCTTCCTTACTGAAAGCTGTTTTTTCACTGGAAATTTATGCACACATACACACACACACCTCCTAACATTTAAAAAAAGAAAAATTACCATCTTTTATTTTTGAATTTTTTATTTATTTACCAACAATGAATCTAAAGATCGTTAGCAGTTTTTCAATTTCGTGCTTCCTGTACTGATTTTTAGCTCATTTTTGTCATAAGGCCAAACCTGGGGTGCCCAGCGAGGATCGGACTCACTACTTGTCCTGGGTATGACTATAAACAACATCTGCGTCCTGGGTAAGACGATAAACTACATTACACCCAACGGCAAGGCCTCTGATCAGGAGGATTTGAGGAGCGTGGGACCACCTCTTAATTGCTGGTGTTCCCAGGTTTACCCTGGCCCGGAATGGTAGCACCTGTTAGGGTCCCAGCTATGGGCAAATAGTTAACCCCCTAAACTGGGGTCAAAACACCATGAAAGTGTAAAAATAGGTTTTAATACAGCAATATTTTTGTAAAAGAAATTACCAGCAATAAATTTTTGAAGAAAAAATTATTACCTGCAATACATTATTACTAGCAGTATATTTTGAAAAAAAATATCAACAGCAGTACATCCTTGGAAAAAAAATATTACCAGCAATACATTTTTAAAAAAAACTATTACCAGCAATAAAAATCCGACATTCACTGGACAATACCTCAATTTCAACTCCCACCATCCATATAGTGTAAAGAAAGAGACTGTCCGCTGCTTACAACACCGAGCAAAAGTCATAAGTGGCGACCCAAAGACATTAGATAAAGAATTCGTCAGTATAAGTAGTACCCTACAACATAACAACTACCCTGGGTACATGGCAGTGCACCAATAAACTGGGAAGGCAGGTACAAGAGGATGACAACAACACTCAGAACAGTCTGCCTGCCTTATGTGAAGGGGTTATCAGAGAAAATACAAAGGATCTGCAGTTCATATAACATCAGGACAACCTTCAAAAGCTGGATGATACTTCACAGATATCTCTCCCAGGTATACCCCCCCATAGAGGAGAACATGACTAAAGACTGTGTGTACACCATCCCGTGCAGTTGCAGAAAGAAATAAAAAGGGGAGACAGGCTGTTCTCTTAAGGTAAGGCTTCAAGAACACCTGAAAGCTGTAACATGAGGGGAAGTGGAAAAATCAAGTGTGGCTGACCACATAGGGAGAGAAAAGGGAGATCACCGCCCTCTGTGGGATCAGGTTGAAATCATAGACAAAGAACATCATGGGAAAATTCGTAAACTTAAGGAATCAGCACATATGCTAGGCCACAAAAATCTCCTAAGTCGACTAAGCATAGAAATGAATACAATATGGGAACCAGTATTAAAGAGTGCCAGAGAAAAGCAATAATAACGAAAATTGCAATAAGGACAATAGTCCGAATAATGTAAATAGTGTACATAATGCCTCATCTCAGAAATATAGACAGACAATAAAAATCTTGTCAACTTTAAATAACTCATTGAGGTTGATATGCCATAAAACAAAACAAACCAAACCCGAACTCGCTACTAATTGTTTGTAAGACCAGTTTACTAACCATACACAACAATTTGGTGTCTGTGCTTCTCAAAGTTAAATACAATTTTTTTTTTCTTTTCTTCAGCTCTTATTTTTCAGGTTGTCATAAACTTTTAAACACTGATAGGGACAGCAAACATGGATCTTCTTGTAGAAGACGAAGATGAATTTAAAGATGCTGAAATAAGTGGAAGTGAAGATGAGTTACAAGTAAGTCATTTAAATCTGGTTTTTTTTTTGGTTTTTTTGGTTTTTTTTATAAAAATGATAAAGCTTCTTAAAAAAAAAAAAGAAAAAAAAATCCTTGTCAAGCAGGTAATTTGAAGCCCCAAGATGTTTGCTGGACATACCAATATTTAATTTGTAAAACAGAGGCATAGGTATTTTTTGTTGATAATATATCTTTTTTCACTAACAAATTGTTTTTCATTATACAGCTTTAAAAAGGAAAAAAAAAAAAAAATTTGGATCCCATGTATATTTAGGACCCACACCTTTAAAAAGGCCTTGAGTCGCATTCAGATCAAGAGGATTTTCTGTTAAGTAAATGTTTCTTCTGTGGGGGATTGGAAATACATGAAAATGTTAGTAAAACTGAATCATTAGATTCTTGTTCAAATATTGGTTACTTGCAAGCATATTTTTTTAGAGTAACCTTTATTCTTTCTTTAAAGACATACCCATTATGTGGTTTGGCTTTCCCCTGTCTTTTCTATAAATATTTTCATGGCAGTTGTTCTAATGAGCTCTCCTCTTCTATCTTGACTGCATGAATTTAAGTGTTTTACTAGATTGACTATTGGGTCTCATTGTTTTACTTGTTGCAATAATTCCTTTCCGACCACCGTAACGTAGCTTCCCTGGACCTTTTCAATAAATACTTTCATGGTAATTGTTCTAATAAACTTTCCTCTATGATACCTATTTAAATGCACTACTTCAGAGTTGTTTGAATGTTTTTTTTACACACCCCACCTTTCTTCCAAAAGTGTCAGCCATCCAAGATTGAAAAATATATTATGTAGGGTGTAACAAGACTTTCAAGCCGCCCTGTAAATTAGCAGCAAGGTCTCATTGATTTACAGTTGAAACAGCTAGATTAACCATGTTTCTTCTCTCAGCACTTTTCTCTTGTGAAACTCTCTTCCAGCTTCTTGCTTCCCAGTCAACTTTGATCTTATGCAATGTCAATTGTTATCTTCTGTCTTCTTATTCTTTCATTGTCCTCTATCCTTAATAGTATTTTTTTTTTTCAAATTCTCTAACATTCAGTAACCCCTTGCATCCCAGTGGCTTTATTCAAAAATTTAAATGCCACATCAATCAGCATCTTCTCTCTTTCTGAAAACTGTTCTTTATTGTCTTTCCTCATCACTAAAGTCTTCTCCTGCTCTTCCTCTCTCAGTAACCTCTTACGTCTTAGTGGCATTAACATCTTGCTTAATGGGAAATAATTCAAAAAAAAAAAAAAAATAGAGAAAAAAATGGGTAAAGCTAAATGTTTGGAATCGCACCAAGCAAGGCTGTAAAGCAAACCACTAAAATGCAAGGGATTAAAGTGTGTGGAAGAATTAGGAACAGAAACATTAATAATGATCAGTAAGAGAAAAGAGTAATCAGGAAGACAGTAGATCGCAAGTGACATTGCATTTAAATTTTTGCAGATTGAAGTTGGCTGAAAAGCATGGGACTGGAAAGGAGTTCCACAAGTGAGAAGTGCAAGAGAATAAAATGTTAGCATAAAATTTATGGCTACATCTAAGCCAGCTCAACTGTAAATTAGAGATATAGACACCAGTCTAGTATTGCGCTTAAATTCGTTCAGTCTAGGTACCAAAGCAAAGAGCTCATCCGAACAATTACCATAAAAGTATTTATAGAAAAGGCACAGACAACCTTACAGCTGTGAGTAAGTGACTGAAGCTGAGCCGCCAGGTTAGAACCAATAATATTACTGATTCTTCTTTGGATTTTATCAAAGAGCTCAAGATAAACAGAAGAAGCACTGGATCATATGTGGCAACAATATTCTAAGCATGAACATATGGTATACTTATAGATATGTAAGATAGATTCCAGAGAGAAAATTTGTCTTGCCTGACATGGTGAACCAACTTTCTTAGTAGTTGACCTAGCAATGAAGTCAATATAGTCTTTCCACTTTGTGTCAGCTGAGAACATTAGCCTGAGAAGACACAACAAGTCACTTTCCTGGAGGTTAGCATCAGCCATGCTGATAGAAGGCAGTAAAGGGCTCTCTCAAATGATTAACGGAGAGAAGTTTAATTTTGGAGGCATTAAAACTGACAAGCCATCTTTTGCCTCAATTAATGACTGTTTTGAGGTTGTTTTGGACATCGGCTGCCATTTTGACTTTGTTGTACTGATCAGCCTTACAATCGAGGCAGGAGTAAATTGTTGTGTCATCAGCATAGATACCAAGTTGGGAGCTGATCTAATCAGGAAGGTCATTAATAAAAATTGGAGCCCTGGGGGGGGGGAGACACCTGCGTTAGTACAAAAAGATATAGATGGTTGGACGTTCAGGATATCTTTCATTTCATGATTTGATAGGAAAGACTGGATCAGTTCAAAAATGTGTTCAAAGACACCATAACTTTTCAGCTTATGAAGAAAACCTGTATGCCAGACCCTGTCAAAGGCTTTTGAGATATCCAATGCTATAGCCTGGACTTCACTGTTTTTATCTAGAAAGCTTTATAATATCTGTTAGCTTTATATATTAAAAAGATGTTTTATTAAAAGTAACAAACTACTGGTAGATTTTCTCCTTATTAGTTGGGTATCTGCCAATGAAGATGAAGCTAACACTGGATCACAGCGGTCAGAGTATGAACAAGACTTCCACATGGGAACACTACATATATGGAACTAATGCATCCAAGTCACTGGAAGCACAAACACAGAAAAATTTCAAATGATGCTGGGTAACATGACCAGAACTCCTTGCTAACACACTACAATCCAGTTATACATCTTTATTGTTACATTCACAACATTTTAGCCATTGTATGCTCTGGCCTTCTTCAGGATTTGTCAAAATTTCTGAGATGAGTTATTTTGTAACTATTCAAACTATTTACATTGTTCAGACAACATATATCACCTGGAGACTGAAACATTGTCAATATGGCAGTAAAGATGAGCACAATAATCCAAACAATGTAAATAGTGTATAAAGATAGACAGTTTTTTTCAGCCCTCAATAACTGCATTGATTGTATAGCTCTATATCAGATAATGCTAAATTGAATCATTTTATTATCTTCCTGCCACTGTTAATGTGGCCATTCAAACATTATCCACTATAAAGAGGGAATACTTTATTTGATTCATAAAGTTAAAGAATATATCTTTCAGTAATAGTAATTCAATTATATTAATTAATTACGATCATAAAATAAATGTTAATTAATTTTAAATTGCATGGACAACTGAATGAGGACAATTTTTCTTGGATATTGTATAAATAATTGGGTTTAGAATACTAAGAACGTCTCCGAATGCATTGGAGGAGGGTCGAGGGATATAATAGCTGAAACGTTCTGACAGTTAACAAGATATGCACAGCAGTGTGAATGCGGCATGTATAATAAGTTATTTTATATACAGTGTGTTGTACAACAATGTACCATCCTGGTTATGATGATAAACTACATCCAACAGCAAGGCCTCTGATCTGGAGGTTTTGAGGAGAGTGGAACCACCTCTAAATTGCTGGTGTTCTAAAGTCCACCCTGACCCAGGGTGGTAGCAACTGTTAGGGTCCCAGCTATGGGCAAATAGTTACCCCCCACCACCACCACCACCACCAAAAAAAAAAAAAAAACTGGGGTCAAAACACTATGAATGTGTAAAAATAGGTTTTAATACCAGCAATACATTTTAAAAAAAAAAAAAAAATATTACCTGCAATACTTGTCTATATTTCTGAGATGAGGTATTATGTACACTATTTACATTATTTGAACCATTGTCCTCATCATTGTTGCCATATTTATTACAATGTTTCGGCCATTGTATGCTCCAGCCTTTATCAGGAGATTGGAATGTCAAACTGAACACTTTATTTTCACTTGCTGGGGTAGACTGTTCTAGTTATTCGTGCCATGTCTAATGAATGTCAGTTATCACCTGTTAATTCACTTCTCCAAGTTCTCCACTGCCTTAACCAGGTATTGAACTCACAACTCTTTGGGTCCTGTCACTGAATTTATCCACTTTGTCATGTGTTCTTAAGTTCAGTTCGACATTCCAACCACCTGAAGAAGGCTGAGTATACAATAGCTGAAACGTGATAAATGTGGCAACAAAGATGAGGACAATAGTCTGAATAATGTAAATAGTGTACTAGCAATACATTTTATGAAAAAGAAAAAAAATATTATCAGCAAAAATTTTGTTGGCATTAAATAACCCATTGAAGTTAAAAATTGCTGTAAAATCAGCCAAAACAAACAAATAATGTATAATTTTATTATCTCCCTGCCACCACGAATGCAGCCATTTGAATATTATCCACTCTAAAGAGAGAACTACTTTATTTGATTGATAAATTCTCTTTCTCATGCTAAGTATAAGTGCCTTTTTTGATTCGATTTTCTCTAAAACTTCATTGTTCTTCAGCTTCTGGTATTCTCAGCATGCTTCTGTAGATCTTTTGCCTTGAGTCACCTTTTCAACTGTGAGGAAATTGTCCAGCAATGACATATAGGAGAGCCAGTATTACATAACAGTTCAGTTTTGTTTCTAACAAAATTTTCCTATTTCTCAATACTTTGTTTAAATTTTGGAAGGCATCTTTTGCTATCGCAATGTGCCTTCAGATTTCAGTGTCGTATTTTCCATCTTCACTTTCGCAGTTAATTAGGCACCTCCACTAATTTTAGATACCTTGGTTTAAAATGAATTTTATTAAGTGAAAAAGTTTACTTGAAGCTTTCATTTTAGCTTTAATTGAAACCTAAAGGATTAAATTTACTATTTCCAGTAAACAAGATACTTGTGTATTTCAAACAAATTATATTGATTGCAGTCAATATTTTTTTTAAATTCTTTCTAAAATAGTTGATTAGCACCATTTTTTTAGCCATCTTTCATTGCAATGTAATTCTCTGTATTAAAGAATCTTTCAAAAATAAAATATACTTTTCTGAAACTTTATTTGAGTAATATTAGGTGATTTAAAGTATAATTGATCTGATTTGAAAAAGAATATTATTTACTTTAAGTTTAAAACAACAGAGAAATGGATTTTTAAAATAAACAGTAGCAGTAATTTTAACCGATAGCATCCATTCTTATGTAATTAACAAGTGGTGACAAATGCTGATAAGATGTTGACAGTTCTATTATTGTTCTATGGAGACTATATCTGTTGAAACAGAATTTAAGAAAATGACAGGTGAACCCCTTTTTTTATATAATTTTAAGTATTCAGTAATCTTAAAAATGTTGGAAAATATTCTCTGTAATCTAATTTTAAGAATGTTGTCTTTAAATTTACTGTAGTCATCGCTCTTATTTTTTGATAATGTCATGTATTGTCAACCATACTTTTAGAAATGGGCATGTTACATAATATTTTATATACATAAAAAAAATTTTAAATTATTTTAAAAATCTTGGTGTAAAAAGATTTGCATTAAGCTTTTCAATTTTTGATTAGTAATTATAGTTTTCACTTAACAACAATATTACCTAACCAGATGGAAGTAATGCACAATTTTAAAAGATAAAAAAAAAAAAAATGAAAACAATTTTTGTAAAAAATTCATTTTTCATCAGACAATAGTGTCCTTAATAAATTTTATTTATAAAAGCAATTAAAAGCTTTTCTAATTAAATAATGTCATAATTTTTGCATTTTTTTTAATTTTATGATTCAGAGCAAATTTTCAGGAAATGATTAGTAGTTCGAAAAAATAAAAATGATTTACATTCTTCAAGGACTCTTGCTTTTAATTAATTAAAAAAAATTTAATTTATTAAAATTTCATTAAATAAGTTGGGGGAGTAACATATATAAAAAATATATATTTTTACCAAAATTTTCTTAAAAGAATTTCCAAAATAATTTTGTTCATTTGTGGTATAAGTCCTGAAAGTTTCATTAAAATCTGACAATTATTTGATTTTTGCAATAATTTCCAAATCAATGTGTTTTTCGCCTGGAAAAAAGTCACTAAAAAAACTAATCATAAATATTACATCAACTGCTAATGCAAAAAAAAAAAAGAATAAACCAAAATTTTGAACATGCTAGGAAGGATTAAAAAAATTTAATAAAATAATAAAAAAATACTTTGGTCTTTCCTCTTAATAATAACAACAAATATTTTGATGATAAAACTTTGTTTTTATTAGGTTTGAGGCCTATTTTAATTGTGCTATGTTGTTTACAATTAATCATTCCCCACTCTGGGATGGGGTGAGTTCCTAATTTTAGTTTTTTATTTACATATTTGAAAAGTGGATAAAGCTTAATGTTGTTGAAAATTTTCATTGTTAAATTAAACCAAAAATTAAATTTCAAGAAAAATGATATGAAAGTCAAAACCTTTCTTATAACATAAGAATTCAAATGCTAACATCATCAACCTGATTTAAATTCCTGAAATCAAAACAAACAATAAAAACAAAACTGTTGGACATCATTAAAAAGTAAAGAAAAAAAAAATCTTTTTATAATACATAAATTCTTTTCCTCAGCAAGAAATAGGTAATACCATTATTTTGTAAGATACATGAATTTGAGAATGAATCTAGCAAAATATGTCCAAAATTAAAGAAATGAAGATATTCATCTATATATTAACAAGAGTTGTGGAGGCATGATGGAGTAATGGATAGCAGCTTGGATTAAGAAATTGGCACGGTGGGGTTGAAATCCAATTGATTTTGTTACATTCATTTACTTGCAAATACCCTTGGGATAGGTATGAAACCATCTCTTCTCCTCGCCCAAAGTTATGGGTAAATAGCAGGACAAACTGGGTCCTATAGCTTTGGGTGGCAACTGGTCTCGGAGAAGGACAACTCTGAATTCAAAAACCTTCAACTATGGGTTAAAAAAAGCCTCACCAACTTGCAAATGGTCAAGCATGGTGAGTACAGCTATACTCCTGAAGACATGGCCAATCAGGGAGGGGTTCTCTAATGGAATGAGAAGGCCCTGAATTTGGATATTAATGAGAAACTAAGAGAACTTAAGATAATAGACAATTTCCCAAATAGCATATAGACTTGAAGATGGCTAGCAAATGTGCAAGTTAAAAATGTTGAGTTCAAAATAGGAAATATGAAGATATATATCTGTATATTCCATAAAATAATGGCATCATTTGAAAAGTTAATATTTTTATATTGTTAGATAAATTATTTTCATTTTTACTCAATATTAATTGTAATAAAAATAGTCTTTCTAAAAAATTTCCTCATAAAAACTACTGCAGTTTATATATTTTTCCAGTTTCATTTTTTGTTAAAGTTAAATTTCTTTTCTGCTTCATTTATTTTCAGGATGCTGATGCCGAGAGGAAACGAAGCAGACTCATTGATTCTGTTTTGGCCCTCAATAAGAAAAAGTAAATATTTTCTTTAAATCTTTTCAAACTTACACAAAAATGATCAGGTTGATGGTGATAATTCTTTGTATTTGAAAGATTTGCTGTTTTGTTGAATATGTTTCAAAAGTATTTTGATAAATACATTTAAAGAATTTCTAGTGTAGAATTTCTGTATTGAATTGTTTTTATTATTTTAAATTTAGCTACCCTTTCATTCCTTCCGCAGACCCCCCCCCAATTTTTCTCAATTGATCTTTTATATATAACTGCATAATATAGAATATATAATGTATAATGAGAAAATAATGACACTTTAAAAAATATAATGATACAGTTTACTTCTTAGGACACAATTTTCTATTCTCTACTATTCTATTTGCTCATAATTATATATTATGAACCAGACTGGAATTAGAACTCGGCTCTCTGATTTTCCATTTCTGAGCTGTTAACACTACCTGCATCTCTGAGCTTACAGCACTTGGTATTCCCAAGTGGTTACCTATCTGGGTACTGATCAGGTTCAACATTGCTTAACTACAAGAACCAGTGTTTCAATGTGATATGGCTGTAAGCCACATATTAATTCCTGACCACTTTCTCTCTGGTTTTTAATGTATTAATATTAGAAAAATCTTTTGCAATGCATTTATGGGAATGAGAGGCTGCTGAAAAGTTTTAGGTTTGTTCAAGAAGAATGCTGTAGAGCTGTAAAACATACATGCTTTTGTATCTGTCTATATTTCTGAGATGAGGTATTAAATGGATGTCACGTCTTCCAGTGACGTACTATCATACCAACTGAACTCAATGGCACATTTAACTGACTAGATATCATTCTATAACACATTTGTATGAAGGTCAATAATACGTTTATGAAGATCTTGATCAATTATTTTTCTTTTCCCTAATTTGTCAATGTTTAAAGGGCAGTTGATAGAAAAAGAATGATGCAATACTTTTAATCATTCCTAAAAGTAATCCTAAAATTAACCTGGAACGTTCTATAAAAAAAAACAAAAAAAAAAAAACAACCCCATCCTAATTTGGAACATTTGAGTAAAATTTGAACACTTTTATTAAAAAAAAAAAAAATGCTGTTGTAAACTTTTGAGTTACTAAATATCGGTTTTTCTTCTTGGGATACTTTTCTTTCTTTTTTTTTTTAATCTGATTGTTTCACGGAATACCTAAATATATTTTCTACAAGCAGTAAAAGTTTAATTAATCTAACTATATCAGAAATACCTAAAAAACATTTTTTGTAATGTGTTTTAAAATTTTGTGTGGCACTGTACACACACATATATATATATATATATATATATAAAAAGAGGTATACTAGGCTGAGGCACACTTCAAATGAAGAGATATAATAATATATATATATATATATATATATATATATATATATATTGTAGCTCTATTATGTCGGTAACATTTGCATTAATTCTTGACCACTGAAAATCTTTTTCTTGGTTTTCAAAGTAAAAAATTAAAAGCATTAACAAGGAAATTACATTTTATATTTAATAGGCCTGTTCCTTCAGTGAGACTTGCATTAATTTCTGACTACTGACAATCCATTTCTTATTGATATATGTATATGTCATTGGAAAAACAACTCTTTTCAAATTGTGTGTCTGTATAAGCACACTCACACACGATGTGAAAACAATTACTTTTCCAGTGATATCTCCAAAAAATATCCCAAGAATGTTGGTGGAGACTGCATACGTCTGTCTTTCCAGTTTTCACATCCAGTGGGTTTGCAAACAGATCTCACGTGTTAAGAAGGACATTTTTTGAAACCTTTTTTCAAAAATGAAAATCAGAGGGGTTTTCAGCATTTGTTGGTGCCGTTGTATATATGAATACCAAACTTAAAGAAACATAAGCAGGCTAATATTAAAGCCAATGTCAGGTGAGATCTAATTCTTTTTTTACTGACCCTGAACTGGTTTTATCTCAGTGTTTTCAAATATTAAATCTCAGGGGAAATAATATTTTTGGAATTTTCTTACATTATTTTGATTTATTTATTGTTTATTTTTCAGTGCCAAATATACACAGAGAACAATCCGATCAAAAGAAATAACAGAATTCAATTTTGGTTCCAGTAATTGTAAGTGATTTCTATTATCTATCTATCCATAATTGGATTTGTTGTCTTATAGAATATATGGGTGAAACAGATACGAGTATTACTTTTTCTATCAACTAATCTTGTGTAGATAGGACAAAAAATAAATTTGAAGAACATTCTAGAAATAGAAAGTAATTTCAGAAAGCATATCCAGTCACTCACTAATGACTGAGTGCTTTCAAGAAAATAATTCCATTGTAAAGACAACTAATCTTTCTACCTGAAAATACTCAATATCTCAAAAGAATGGATTACTTCTGGTAAAACAAAATCTCTACCACCACCAAAAAAAATATATGGTCTGTCTGTAATATATCCAGTCATTTTGAATAGCTAGAGAACCAACTGTGCAGCTAAAAATATGTCCTAAGCCTTTTCAGGGAATTGCAAAAAAGTAATCTGAAACCTGAAGTAAAGACAATAAAAACAAAGCATTACTAAATTGATTAGGTTTTATTACTAATGATATGAAATGTTTTCAAATGTGTGTGTGTGACAAAAGTAAGTGGAAATTAAGTTGTTAAAAATCATTTCTACCTTAATGCAATACATTGCCATGTTCATCATGTTAGGTTGATTTTTTTTTTTTTTTTTTTTCACTTTTAGAAAATCAACATTACACTCAATGTGAAAGCTGGGATTTGATGTGATAACTACTGACACCAAAAATTAGATGAATAGCTTCTGCCAATTTTTGAGCATTTATTTGTAAAGACTGTCTGAAAAAATGTAGAGCAATACCTAATTTCTGCAGGTTTTTGCTTACAAACTGATTTCAAATTTTACTATTTCAGGAATAAATCCAAATAAAGTTGATATATTTTTTATTACATCCATAAAATAGATAAAAGTGTATATAACACTATAATATTGCTGGGCACAAATAAGACAAAATGTTTTAAATTTGCATTATTGAAAATCACACTGAAACTACTGCACTGTATAATATATTACATCATAATATAGCTAAATTGTTCTGTATAATTTCCCTTTGAAGTAAATGAGATCTTATTTGATAGCACAATAATGTGCTTGTTCCATGCATCTTGTCCATATACAATTTTTAAAGCTTCAGGAAATTAGTATTTTTTCTAAGGCTGTCCTATAAGGCTTTGACTGTTCACCCAAATTGCCATTTTAAACTTGTTTCCTCAAAAAACGGTAACAATTTGTAAAAAAAAAAAAAATATTTTGTGCCATTATTTATCACGTGAAATCTCAACTTTCAAATTCACAGTTCCAAAATGAACCTGCCCTAATGTCCTGACAGAAGAGATTTTTTGAATTTGGCACTGTTTTTATATTTACATGGCTGCATATCTTGCAAGAGTAACATATGAATTTTGTCTTGTGTTTTTTTTTTTTTTAATTATTTTATCCATGTGAGTGTGTAAATGTTACAGTAAGCTAGATTTTGCAAGGATTTGAGATGATCCTGTTTAATGTTGATATCTCTTAAAGTCATGCAGGAATAGCTTTCTAATCATAATAAGATATGTAAAGCAATAATTAGAATTAAAAAAATTTGTTTATATGATTTTTTATATTTTTTAAAGCATCAGGCAAAATTCATGTTGGTGAATTGCTCCAGTCGTTGGTTAAAATTCAGAAAAATAAAAAGATAAAAAACCAATTGAAAAGAATTAAAGAAACTGACCTTTTGAAGAAACCTCTCCCCAAGCATGAACAAGAAAAAGTGAGTTTAACCTTTACAACTTCGCATTATTTTTCAGAGTTTTATCTCCTTGATCCACATTAATTTTGGGTGTTCTAAGTTTTTAAATGGCGGGTATAATACTAGCGCTGTAACTTTTAGGCTTTTAGAGATTTTGTTATAAAATTTTCAGGGTATTTGCATGAAAGGTTGTAGAAAAATATAGACATTTTTGTTTTTACTGTACATATAATAAATTTTGAGAAAAACCAAAAAACATGAAAACTAAAAAAATATACAACAGAATTGAAAAATGTTTCCTACTTATCACATCATGAAAACTTGTATATGTAAAACAGGGCCTGTTGTCCAGTTAGAAAGTTGCTTTATCAAACCTATCAGCAAAAGTAAGGATGAAAATGCTTTCATTTCTTCAAAGCAAATGTTTTTCCAAGCTCTGATTTGCAAGTTGGGCTTTTCTGTGTCACCTAATTTTGTGTTCACATCGTTTGTATATCGGTTAGTTTCCACTAGCATTAATTGAATAACTTTGTCAGATAAAAAAAGACAAAAACGTCTGCCTAACTAGCTTCTTCATCAACATTTGTAGGTTCAGAAGTATAGGAAAACTGTAGCCTCGGGTGATAGTATGCTTGTGATGGTTCAAACATTCCTCCTTCTTGGTTGAAATCACTTTGTTTCACTGTCACACACATCACCGATATCTGTGTGGATAATTAAGTGAAATTCTTCTTCATTACTCTTACTGTCCATGAAAAGTTCCTCTTGATGTAACAAATCCATGCCTTGCCCCAAGGGCCATCATTGTGATTGAAAAATGATCGTTTTTAAAACACTTTATTAAAATTCACTGATAAAATAATTATTTAACTTAGGACAAAATGACTGACATCTGGTCATTCACAGTTCATATTACAAACTTAAAGATGTCATGTCTGTAGTAATAGGTTATTTTTAGAAATGTCCTTTCCTTTTGAAACGAAGCTCTATCATTTGGCAAACATATCCACCTGAAGAATATTGAGAAAGAGTATTGCTGGCAGAGATGTATGCCTGCAGAAATGTAAAAGTTAATAACATTTGTGATTTTGATGAAGGAAGGACATTGAAGAGAATCAGAATGTTTTTAAAAAATAGGATTTATTTGAAGTTATTAAAGCTGACATCATTGAGAATCTAATGTAGAAATAACTTGGTTTTCAATTTATAAGATGTGTAAAAGTCTTTGGCAGTTACCAGGCTGAAAATTTTAATTTATGAGTAAAAGTCTTTGGTAGTTTCCAGGATGGCTACTGGTCAGGGATGAATTGGGCATATGTTGGGATTTTGTAAATTTTTCTCAAAAGTCAAGTGGATTTGTGATGTTACCTGGGATGCTCATAAATTTGAGACTTTATTAGGAAGTGGTATACATTTGACATATTTTAGTCATAGATATTTGGTGTTAGTCAAGGACTTTTATGTTGTAATACGAGTAGCCACTGTCATTTCTTTCATTCAGTTTATTCCACCAACTTTTGTGACTGTTTTTTTGATTCAATAAGTAACAGATCAATCAAGTTTTTAGGGTTTTTTTAAAAGGTCCTTGGTCCTTATAATGTAGCTAAGACAACTAGGCATGATAATTTTATGTCATCACATAAGAAATACTTGCTGGTAGCCTTGTAAATACACTTCCTAATCTGATTATTATTGTCAGGGAAGAACTATCTATAAGAAGATCATGTTGCTTCTCTATTCCTAATGGGGAGGGTTGAAAATCTATTTGAATCTAGTAAAGTGTACATTAGGGCTTAATGTACACATCAATGCAGACTAAAATATATCAACTGTCCAGTTTTTTTATTATTAACTCTCATCAAGGTTGACTATGAAGGAAGAGATATTTTCCTGCTAGTTCCTAAAGAGTTATGGGAGAGTGATTTCATTTTGATCTCAGTCAAGGTTGGGTATGATATCCAATCAAGGTATATGTGTGATATCACTGCATATATAAACAGTATTTACTGTAATTCCCCATGTATAATATGCATTTTTTTTTTCTAAAAAATAATAAGCAAAATTAGAGATGTGTATTATGCACAGCTACAAAAAATCTTTTTAAAATTGCTGCTTCATAGATCAATTTCAGTTGCGGTGAAATGAATACAACAATTCGACACTAACATTCAGCAAATGTGACCGCATAAGGATGTCAAATACAATCATATGTACCTAACAATACTTACAGATGCAAAATAAGAATTATCATAAAACTAAATTAGAATAATAATATTCTATGTTTAAAACTTTTTTTTTTTAATAAGAGTAGGAAACGCTGGACATAATGAAATTGGAGAGGTACAATTTATAGGGTTTGATTAAACAAGGGGTGCATATTATGCATGAGTAGAAACATTTTCCCACACTTTCAGCACAATTTTAGGGGTGTGTATTATACATGGGGAAATATGGTATATAATGATGCAATTATGTTTTTGATTTAATATATATTTAATGTATATCTTTTCTTAGTTTGATCGAACCACTGCTTATCAAAAGGCCAGTGAGGAAATATCTGCTTGGAATTCTACTGTCTGGCAAAATCGCAAAGTAAGTCTTTTTTTTTTTCTTTTTTTTTTTTTCTTTTAATATGAATGAATAGCTGTGTTTTTTGTTGAGGCAGGACTGGGATTAATCTCACACAAAGCAAAGAGGTCTTGCCTGACAAAGAGTCTCCTGTTGTAAAGATTTGAGGCAAAGTTTTACAAGGACAGATGTTCTTGTTGCTCAACTCAGGCATTCAAAGTAGTCTAACTACACTGAGTGTTTTTATTGAGACACCAAGACCATACCTAGGAAGGTTGCTATTCAAGGCTTGCAACCTTATTCTAGCCTTACACACACACACACACACACACACACACACACACACACACACATAAAAGTGGATATTAAAATCAACACCCAGAGGTGAGTTTGTTTCATGTTAAATGCAGTTGTTGTCCCAGAAACATTATGAAACAAACTGTCGCCTCTGGGTGTTGATTTCAGTGAATACAACAAATAAAACATGTAATTTTTGTTGATGTCAAAGACTGAAGTTTTGTTACCACCTCAGCTCTGTCATACATAACTAAACTTGGATCTTCTCTGACAGAAACGAGGAAATATCTTAAGAATCTCCATTTACATAGATTCCCACATTCTGAGAGAAGACCAACAAATTCTGGTGATATCATGTGGTACTGCTGGGGTGTCCCTTTTAATAAGGTTGCTTCTGCACTGAATGCAAGCTTGACCCTAGTATGATCATATGATGAAGACTTTATTGCTATTTTCATGGCAATATTTAAGTTTGGTTAAAGACCAATTAAAGGTCCTTTGTTAAGGATTTTTTGTTTATTTTTATGGCAAACTTGGACCATCGAGTTTGCAAGAAAAATGAATGTCAAAAGGACATTTTTTTTTTTCCCCCTTGACACTGCTATTATTTTAACTGGATAGGAAGAAAAAGATGTAATCATTAACGGCAATTTCAAACCAGAAATGGGGGTGGGGGATAAAATGTGAGGTGGATAGAAAAGGTTGACCAAGGAATGAGAACCTTTCTTGTTTCAAATTGCCATTTATCGTGATTATATCCTTTTTTGCTGTGCATTTTAAAATCTATCATTTTAATAAATATCTGCTTTTATAGCATTAATTTAAAAATCAATTAAAAAATAAAACATGAACTAACATGTGTGAAGACTAGCATCATGCATGAAGATGTAATATTTAAAAAAATGATTCTGATATTTTGTCATTTTGGAATTGGCTGAGAACTGAAAAAAAGCTCATCAGATTAACTAAAAAATATAGGTAAATTATAGAAGATGCTAAGTGACATAGTTTAATGACTTATATATATAAGTATAGGATTGGTGTATATGGAATAAATTCCAATAACCAACAAATACTATTAAAAGAGTGCTCAATACAGAGTAGAGCAAATATAATCATTTATTCGAAAATTGTAATATAATAAAATATTTTTTAATATATACAAGTATAGGATTGGTGTATACGGAATAAATTCCAATAACCAACAAATACTATTCTTAAGAGAGTGCTCAATACAGAGTAGAGCAAATATAATTATTTATTCGAAAATTATAACATAAATATGTTATAAAATCACTACAAAAATAGCCATTTTGTTTCAACACTTCTGGTATCTTATAAAGTGATGATGTTGAATGTAGAATAAAGGGTTTTAACTATTTCTTAATTTCTGCTTTTATTTCCTTGATCATAAGAAGGAAGGACCTGAGTTTGGCACAAGTCTATGAGTTTGGGTCACCCAGTGAAAATTGAACTAACAACAGTTGCAATAGTCCATGCCAAGACACTTTTCTGGCCAGCATTTACTAACTAATTGTAAATGTGTATTTATCACAATCCTTCAATTTTAAACTTTGATGGCTTTTGGTCCAATCATTTAAATGCTGCTTTTGGCAAACTTTAAGCTCTGTGTCAAGTCACTTTCTATTAATAGAATTTATTATTTGCAAATACTAATGATTATTATTATAATTATTAATTACTTGTATGCCTCTGGAGAAGAAGGCAAACAACTCAAGGAGTCTTCTCTGCTTATTCTTCTTATTTTCTTCTGGAGTTATATTTCTTGAGCAGATTTTTCTTTTTTTAATCAACTTATGGTTAGAGACTGGTGGTTTGATTGAAGTGGATATTGCTTTCTTCTCCAAGTTAGATTTATTGAATGGTTTTACACTAACAAAATGAATTAGTGAAAACAGCTTAATAAATTATTTGGTATCGCTGAAGGTAGGTTTTTGAAATAATTCAAACAATTTCTTTGATGTTTTTAAACTGTGAATATAGTCTTGCTTTTTTAGCCTTTATTTTTTTTAATTATTTTTAATATTTTTCTCGTTTTATGAATGTTTCTTTTATTATTTTCTTTTTCTCTTTTAGAAAGAACATCAAGAATTCCCTTTACAAACAGAAAAGGTGGAAGTTTTTAATAATCAGACATTTTGTAAGAGATTTGTGGTAAATATCAACAAAGTGTTTTTTTTTCTTTTATATATCAAATTTGAATAAAAAGTGAACAACCAAGGGCTACAATTTTTTTTTCTACTGTTTGAAGTCCTTTCTTGATTGCTAATTTCATTCATTGTGTTTTAGACACCCACTCCACTCATGTTTGGCAAATTAGGATAAAAGAAAAAAACACAGTTTTTAATTTTACATATCAATAAAACTTTAGTGATAATGCAAACATTTTGAGAATTTCCCAAATAGTATTTAACTTCAAAAACTCCAACACACAATACTGCTCTTGTGCTGTGACACTCTCCATACACATTATGAAAACCATATAGCTTAACAAAAATATATATATATATATATATATATGGTGGACATATGTTTATATGAACTTATGACCTGGTGTGGAGTGAGGAGCCTGCTCCCAAAGTTTGCAAATGTATTTTTGATGCACCCTGTGTGTAAAAATATATATATATAGGGCTCCGTAAAATAAAGAGGTGCCCAACTTCTATAGACACATGTATCTCAAGGCCTGCAGGTATTTTGTAAACTCTTAGACAGAGGGAACATGTGGTTGAGGATCAATTGCCACATGTTTCCATGACTTGGGCAGCAAGGCCTGCTTTACTACATGCAACAAAGTTACAGTAGCAGTTAAGGCTATGATTGAGAGGACTAGCATGCTGCTAACTTGTTTTAACATTTGCATGCAGTTGATCCTGATGTTCAAGTCAGCCTTATAAGAGTAAGACTAATATGTCCATCGTCTTTTCATGTTGACTTGAATATCGTCTAATGTTTATTATGTTTTAATAACTATGTCCTGAAGAAGGTCTACTAGGCCGAAACGTCTGACATCGACATTAAATTAATATTAAAACAGCATAATTGCATATTTGGATTTTTGTTTTTTTCCATATATTTTTCTTCATACTGTCGGATCTATATCCATATATTTGTTTACATATGTGTGTGTGTGTGTGTGTGTGTGTGTACAGTGTTTTTTTGTGATACACAGATTTGCATATATTTGGGGCTTATGGCCATATCACATTGAAACACATGTTCTTGTACAATCACTGAAGTTAAGCAATGTTGAACCTGGTGAGTACTTAGATAGGTAACCACCTGAGAATACCAGGTGCTGTAAGCTTGGATGTGCAGGTGGTGTAATAGATAACATCTCAGAATTGGTTGGGTTTGTTATATGCATTTACATTTAAATACCCTTGAGAGAGGTATGAATTCAAATCTTCCCCCATCTATGGGTTAATTATTAGCAGTTGTATCAGTAAATTTTTCAAAACCTTTTGTTGGGAATACCAGTACTGTAAGCTTGGATGTGTGGGTGGTGTAATGGGTAAAAACTCAGAATTGGAAATTGGTGAACTGAGTTCCAGTTCCATTTCAGGGTTGTTATATTCACTTATGTGCACATACTCCTTGAGAAAAGAGATGAATCCACCACTTCTCCCCTCAACTATGGGTTAATTCATAGAAGTACCGGTACTAACTGGCTAAAAATATTTTTTGTCTTTAAATAACCTTCACAAGGTTGATAAGCCATTAAAAAACAAATCAATCCAGCCTCGTGGCTTTTATGAGACAGTATGGGTAAATAGCAGGACAGACCTAGTTCTATAGCCTTGAATGGCAACTGGTCTACTGCAGAAAGAAATGGCAACCTACTGCAGGAAAAAATCTGCCTCATCAGTCATGTATCAAAAGATACATGATCACATAAGCGTGTATATTGCATGGCACATAACTGACTGTCTTGGTAGGACTTCTATCAGTAAATCATTATTATCTCAAAAAAGTTTTCACAATCTGAAAAATATTTTCTGGCTAAAAGGTCAATAAACCATAAAAACAATTCAATCAATACAAATTATGGAAACTCATCATTATCACATTGAATATAAAGAATGTATTTGGAAACTTATAAAAACCTGAATTCAAGTTTTCATAGCAGGTTTATTTTGATTTAAAATTACAAATTTTCATTTTAGGAGAAAACTTTAGATGTCAAGTAGTTAAAAAAATAAAACATGGAAACTTATTTTTATCCATTATAACATGTATTTTAATGTAGTATGTCAACATTGAAGATCTTTAATAAAAAGACCAGTTCAGTCACTTTAGTGACAGCAAGATGATCAAATTTCAAATCTAAATTGTTTGTCGATTTAAAATACTGCATTCATTATAAAATATATTCAGTTTAAATACAGGAGGAGTTGTAAAAATAATTGCAAAGGACTGGTTTATACTATTTTCCTGATACCAGGGTTTGTTGCCAGACAACCCTTCCAACACATGTTGGTTTCAATTTCATTTGAATTGTGAGTGTATAGATGTTTGCATGTCTATATTCAATCACAGATCTTTAATCTGGGCAAGGCCTCTGATTGGGAGATTGGAGGTTTTGAGGAACATGGAACCACCTCTTAATTGCTGTTGTTCTCAGCTGTTAGGGCCCCAGCTATGGGCAAATAGTTAACTCTAGCACTTGGGTCAACACTATGAAGGTATAAAAATACCAGCAATACATTTCTAAAAAGAAAATTACTAATGCCGCCAAGAAAATTAAATTTCTGGAGTTGATATGATACTAAACAAATAAACAATAACATATCTAAAAATATTTTTACAAAAAGCTTAAATAATTTTATTATTGAATAATTTCTGAAAAGTTCATTAAAATCTTAAAATTATCAAATTTTAATGGTTTAAGAAATTACCATTTTCTTTGATGCTTTCAACATCATTACCATTTTAACAGTAATTCTTGAGTGGTTGTCAAGCCTTGTATTAGGCAAATTTTAGTATTTAAAAAAAAAAAATGGGAAGCAACGTTTGGCACTTTACCATCCTTTTTTTTTTTTCTTTTTTTTTTTTTTTTTGTCCCTGCTCTGCCATCCATTCATACAAACTTGTTAGAAACATTAATCTCTGTTTCCCACTGTCCCTTTTGCCTTCAGCATGTCCTGTGAGTGTTACATTCTCCAAGACTCTTTCCTCATTAAGTGTTCCAACTGCTTCTTTCTGATTTTAATTATAAGTATCCTGCATTTATTTCCTACTTCCTTTAAAACTTCCTCAATGCTCACATGTTCATTCCATGATATTCTCAGTAAGTAACCATCTGTAGAACCAGTCTTTCCTTGAACTGTAAGAATATTGTCTGGTATTCACTGCTATATTGGAAGATAGCAGTTCAATACTTCATTCTTTGCTTCTACTGAAATTTTCCCATCATAATACTTTGTTTAGTTTCTGGAAGGCATCTTTCACAAGGAAGTTTTAAGATCAGTTTGTTTTAACAATTAAAGATGTATGTAAAAATGTATTTTTTTTCTTAGTGCTGTGAAAAATCCTTTTGAATTCTAACATCTACTTGAAATGATTGATATTTTTTTTCTTCTCTTCCAGGCAAGGAATCCTCTTGAATTAGAAATCCAAGCACTTCTTCATAAACATGGTAAGACAGAACAAAGAAACAAAATGCTTACACCAACTGAAGAAAAAGTTCTCAAAGCCATGGATATCAATGAAGTATGTTTTGATTTATTTTTGATTTGATTGGCATCTTGGCATCCTTTTAAACTTGATTTTTTATCTAACATATGTACTTCAGTTCTTTAATGCCCCATATTTCAAACAAAAGGGTTCTCGAATGACTTTACTGAGAAAAATATGCCCTAGTTTTCAAAACAGAGGTTCAGTTCGGTTCTTGTACAAAAATGATGTCAACCAAATGAACGTGAATCAAGGACATGTGGATGTTTCAAATACTGGTTAGCTTCTGTTGACACAGCTGACTCTATACATACATACCTGTGTGTGTTTTTTGGTTTGTTTTTGTTGAGCAAGGTCCAGGATTAATCTCCCACAAAGCAAGGTATGTCCTGCCTGGCAGAGGATCTTGTCATAAATGATTTGAAAAGGGCAAGGTTTCACAAGGCTGAATGCTCTTCCTGATGTCCAACTCACGTACTCATGGTAGTCCATGGGCACCAAGTGTTTTTATCAAGAAACCATCTTTAGGAAAAGTGGGGCGTGGGGTTAGGAAAATAAACTATCTAAAGCTTGGCATTCAAGATTTGAGACCCCATCCTAACCTTATATATATATATATATATATATATATATATATATATATATATATATATAAAAAAACAAAATCCTTAAAACTCCATTCAGTCAGGTGATAATTTATTTTGTGGACTCGGGCGTCCATCTCTTCAGCCCAGATTTTTACAAAAATAAATGGAGTTCAATTTATTCAGACGAAAAAAGTAAGAGAGGGAAAAGAGAAAAAGAAAAAAGTTTTAATATTAAAAGGAGAAAGAAAAAAGTGGGAAGAAAGACAGATTTCAATATGAGTTTTTTTTTTTTTTTAGGGGGAAAAGAAAGCAAGATAGACATGGGGAGGGGGAAAGAGAGTGAGAGGGTACAGGGAAAGGTGTTAAGCCAGTTGTCAGGGTGACCCAGAAAATCTTTTCTTTTCCCTGAACTTGAGTTAAAAAAATAAGGTGGAAGAAGAGAGTGATCATATTTAAAATAGATACATTAAAACTGTCTAGTCATTTTAAGCAGAAAAATATATATATATATATATATAGTCATCCACAGACAGACTTTTGCTGTTTCACAGCTCATGAATGTGGCTAGACATCCAATTGCCTCAAGTCGGGATCAAAACCTGACTGATTTGGTATTAGTTGGAGATTTTACCCTTAAGCCATTGGTGCACACCAAGGATGAAGGTGAATTTAGACCTATTTATTTTTTAGACAAAAACACCAGTGACTGGTGAATATGTGTGTGTGTGTATATATATATATATATATATATATATATATATATATATATATATATATATATATATTA